CCTATCCAAGATTGTCACGTGAGATCTTAGGATGCTGGGTCATTTTCAGTGTAGGGCTAAGGAATGCAAGGCCAAGGGTCCTGGGAAGGAGGGATCCCAGCATTCTCTAAAGATACAGTCTTCCTTGCTTATCACTCAGTCCCTACACTAGAGTGGCCTGGCCTAGGGCTGCAGGCCTGTTCCAGCTACTAGAGAGGCTGAGGCAGAAGGGTCCCGGGTTCAAGGCTTGCCTGGGCTGCAGAGTTAAGGCCTTCATGGGATGTCCAGAAAGCTAAGACATGGTGTCCGAGAAATAGGTCCCGTCCCCTGCACACCAGTCCCACACTGAGCTCTAAGCCTCATTGGGAAGGGCACAGCCGTGGCCCACTGAGTACAGAGTGCCTGGGCTCTGGCTGAGAAGTCTGGCTGGGAGGCTCCTGGGAAAATATCTGCATCCCTCACTAAGGGAACTGATACCACTCTGTCTCCTCTCCCCAGTTCTACTCTTGACTTCCAGAGAACAAGGACCTCCTGTCTATCTGTCCAAGCAGAAATGTCACAGAGGCTGATGCAAAAGCCACAGAGCCCATGCCAAGCACGGATGACCCTAGACTTGTTCTGGGAGAAGTGACGCTGCCATCTTTATGTCACCTACTGCTGTGAGCCTTCCTGTTACCTGCCCCTGACATGCCTCACTGACAGAGTCCCCACCCGACCGACATGCAAGTGCTTCCGGTCTCAGTGCAGTTAGTGTTACAGTGACACCATGTATATTGCCCTAAAATTCCATGTAGAATAAATTTGTATGTGAGGAAGTGTCTTATCATTTAAAGTTTTGATAGATTCAGCCAGACTGTCTCTCAAAAAAGGGGGGGAGGGTGTATTTATTTATTTATTGGGTTTTCTTTTTCTTTTTTTTTTTTAGGGTTTATTTTTATTTTTATTTTTTATTTTTTGGAGATAGGATTTCACTATGTAGCTCTGGGTGTTCCGGAACTAGCTCTGTAGACTAGGCTGGCCTCAAACTCCAGAGATCCCCCGACATAGAATTAAAGACATGTGCCACCACTGCCCTGCTTTATTTTTTAATTTGAAAGATTACATTTACTTATTTTGTATGTATGAGTTTTCACATGTCTGCCATGTCATGTGTTTGGAGGACAGAGGACAGCTTTCATAAGTGGGTTCTCTCATGATGGGAGTTCCTGGAATCAAACTCTGGTCATTAGACAATGGAAAAAGTTCTTGCTGGCCTGGTTTATTTTACTATTTTTTCTTTTCTTTTGATGGGGGGTGGGGAGGAGGGGAGAGAGAATGAGGTCTTACTATGTAGCTCAAGATGGGTTCAAACTCCTAATCCCAGACCCAAAGTGAAGACACACGCCTTTAATCCCAGCACTCAGGAGGCAGAGGCAGGTGGAACTCTGAAGTCCACACCAGCCTGGTCTACATATTAAGTTCCAGTCAGCCAAGGCTACATGGTGAGATCTTGTCTAAAAAAACAACAACAAAAAGATCTTTATATCCTGGGCCCAGATGATGATAACAATCTGAGTTTGCTCCCAAGGTCCCCAACAGTGGAAGGACAGAATAACTACTTACTGTCCCACTGTCCTGTGGCCTATGAGGCGGGCCACGGCTTGTGCACACCCACAAACTGAGCATGGTGATGCATGCCTGTTATCCCGGCACTTGGAAGGTGGAGACAGGAGGACCAGAAGTTAAAGGCTGGACTGTTTGGTCATGACTCAAACAAAACAACAAATTAAACAGAAAAAATCCCACAGTACCAAAGGGTACAGAATGAAAACTAAGCTTGTTTCTCCACTGGGACAGAGTTCATCCCACTATTAGTAATCATTAACTGTTTCTTGTGACTCAAATTCAATCATCACCAGGGCAAGCCCAGTGGACAGACAGGAGTGGATGGTCCTGGACTACCCAGGCTGTCCAGTGTTTCCATGGGAGCCTCTGCCATGTAGTCCAGCCTTGTGCCCAGTATAATGTTCCCATTCTTCCTCCTTTCCTTGCTTTCTCTTAAACCCCTCTATAATAGTACCTGTAGACTGGCCCTCATCTTCCGATCTTCTGGGTGTTTTGGTGACTATCCTTTGGAAGTGGAGGTTGTGTTATTGTGTCTGTTACAGTGTTATGTCTCTTTATGTAGCCAGATGTTTGGGTAGGGTTCTTTTCTTGTTTCCCCTTCCTTTCTTCCTTTTCTTCTTTCTCTCTTTCTTTCTTTCTTTCTTTCTTTCTTTCTTTCTTTCTTTCTTTCTTTCTTTCTTTCTTTCTTTCTTTCTTTCTTTCTTCCTTCCTTCCTTCCTTCCTTCCTTCCTTCCTTCCTTCCTTCCTTCCTTCCTTCCTTTCTTTCTTTCTTTCTTTCTTTCTTTCT